TTACTGCCTTTCTTTTCCTTGTCCACCCTCACTATCTTCTTTCATTCCCAGTCGCTCTCTCTTTCCAATTATTTCCCCCCGCGTATCTTCTTCCCTGTCAATACTAAGGTTTAACTAGTATTAGTCATACCTTCCCGATAAATTAATCTCCATCTTCGTCACCCAGTTCCCTAACCCTAAACTTAACAACAATAAGACTTAACTCTTACTCGTTCTAATGAAAAGTCCTCGTCATCATCAAGATTTTACACCTCAGACTGAAACTCACATCCGAATCAAGGGAACTTTTCATTTCCCGGACCGTTAACTCCGAGGATTAAATGTAAACATTAAGAAACCATATTCCGATAACTACTTGGTAGCCATTTTAGTTGGCTACTAGTCGTCATAGTAACATTTTCACCACACCCACGTCTACGAACATTTTGCTTCTGCAGCAATCCGCCAATTTTTATAACTGTCACAGACTATCGGCATCGCTTCGACTTAGTCTTATTGGTAGCGTTGTCAAGCTTAGTAACGTGGTTATGACGATACGGATACGAATGCAGTCACTGGTTTACTGTTGGAGAGAAAATTCTTAGGACAGAAATGATGGCATCGTTTGTAAACGGACGGCCCACATTTCGGCCATTAAATTTTTTTATGGCGGGATTTCATCAAATGATTAGAAAAGCTGATTGGCTGTTCTGTGTATAATTGTCCGTGCGTGTATGTTTGTTTACACACACTCACACAGAAACATATATATATATATATATATATATATATATATATATATATATATATATATATAATAAAAGAATAATTAGAAAAAATTTTAAATATCGATAGTCAGTAATAAAAATGTAATTTAAAATATAGTCGGTCTGATGAGATGAATATGCTTATATTCAGCGAAATAAATTTATTACTGACTATGGATTTTTAAGGGTTTTTTTCCTAATTATTTTATAATTTAATCTGTATGATACATTGAACTCGCATATGGACTAAAACCCTCTTTTGAATAATCCCTAACAATTACAATTTGGTATTATATATATATATATATATATATATATATATATACTCGACTTTCCCGTCGAATTCGACGTATGAGGGTCAAGCAGATCAGTTCCTAGGAACCGACAGCCCGACATATAAGGTTTGGCAATTTTGACCAGATTTTCAAGCTGTTTGTCTATTATGTTACACTTCCTTTTCAGTGGCTAACCCTAATTTTCCCAAATCAAGCCACCGACTATCATAGAATTTCATTTCTTATCAATGTTTCTTCCTTGAGGAAATCATTTCATGCCTTCGATTCCTGTAACAAATAGGCCCCGCATTTGAAAGAAACTAAGATAGATAGATATAATTTTCGAATAAATGATTATATTTGTACTACTCTGTATTAAGCACTCTTAAGAATAGTATTTGTTGGTTATTGGAATTTATTCCGTATACACAAATCCTATACTATACTATACTATACTATACTATACTATATATATATATATATATATATATATATATATATATATATACTTCGTACACACAACTACAACTTTCTCACGTCATCTTACATACCATCTTAATGACACGAGCGCCACAAAAATCACATTATAACAACACACTGCACCACTTATAACAGATTCAAATCCTGCGAAATAAGAAAAATCCTAATCAACAATACAAAAATCATCTACAAAAACAATTGTAAAAAACGCTTACAAATTCTTGAAGCCATCACAATTAAACACCAAAAAACCGACATAAATAAAATAGGATTTAATACTGGCAGATACATCTTAAACATATTTAATAACTACTCTTCCAAATAATAAATACCAAATCCCTCCCAATTGCTTATGAATTAATCCAACAACACGGCCTGAATACTCTAAAATGTTGCCTACAAAAAATAAAATGCATACAGCCATGATGATGGTTGACGACAACCGAAAGCGCTCGGCAACACACCAAGGACTGGGTTTCTTTCAACAACTTAGAACCAAATAGGAAAAAAAAAACTTGCGAGAAAGCAAGAAAAAATCGAAAGAAAGATTATTAAATGGAAAATTCCGTGATCTACGATAACGCTTGCCTCAATATATATATATATATATATATATATATATATATATATATATCTTTCGTTAAAAACGACAAAGAAGATTTAATTAATCTTTTATTGAGTTTTTTCCAGCATACTAACATTTTTCTGTTTTTCAGAGTTAAAGAATATAGGAATTGTCCATTCCGAGCGTTTCGGCTACTTCTCTAGCCATTATCAAGGATGTGTTTTGGATGTTGAAATTCTTGATATAAACAGACTGTTATATACCTATATATATAGATATAGATATTCACACACACACACAAACACACATATATATATATATAAATCTATCCCCCCCCCCTCTCTCTCTCTCTATACATACATATATATATATATATATATATATATATATATATAGATAGATAGATAGATAGATAGATAGATAAGCCGGAGTAACCAAACGTCATTTGAAATTGAACATCGTTGGCAATCTGGTCATTTATCAAATTATAATTTTTGTGCCTCGTCTGATATTTCACGCATCTCTCGAAGTCAGTCTACCAGGAAATGAAATATATTTTCTATCAGTTTATTGATTGCTTGTGAATACCAGTTTGGTACATATGTTTACTGACATTTGGCGTAGTACCCATCTATATATATATATATATATATATATATATATATATATATATATATATATATATATATATATATTATCTATTTAAAAATATGATTCCAAATCGCTACATAAGAGGTCTCATGTTTCAAAACAAGAGCCGAAAAACTTCAATATAATCCTTTAAATTAAATTGAGTTGAAAGTAAAATAGGCTCCGTTCCATCTTCAAGCGAAATTTTTGTTGGAATAACGTATATCTGAAATTTACTTGTTTAAAATTGAAATCAAAATACCCATGGTAACAGCTATGGTGAATTTTCTAAATTGGGTAGGCGAGTGTAGGGTGTTTATAATAAGTAGCGGTATAGAGATACTTTCAAGGTGTCAAGTCGGGGAAAGGTGGGGGTGTCAAAAATGAAATGGAAGATGTATTGGCCATCGTCTAGTTTGCTTGTCTATGAAGATTTATTTATTTTATTTTATTTTATTATGAAAGGGAATTGTGCATATAAAAAAAAAAAAAACGTAACGTTTGTTTTTGACGACTTCATAAAGGGTTATCTTATATGTAAGGTATTTAAGCTACTAATTTAGGCTATGGATTATGAAGTGTGTTATGTTGTATGCATGTTTGTAGTACATGAAATAGTACATAACCATAAACATTTATTAATAAAAACTCTGCACTTAAATCAGACGATAAAAGTGAAAAATTATGTAACTGTAGAAACCCAGAAGACTGCCCATTAGAAAATAAATGCTGTATTAATTCTGTGGTATACCAATGTACTATTTCATCCACAGAGAGCCCTAGCACTAATATGATATACATTGGGTCCACGAAGAATAATTTTAAAGATAGATGGAGGCAGCATAAGTGCTCCTTTAATAATATAAACAAACGAAACGACTTCACTATCAAAATATTTTTGGCACTTGAAGGAAACAAATAAGACACCAAAAGTTAAATGGAAAATTATTGACAAGGCGAGAATATGTAAAGCTTGGGATGACCCATGCCCTTTGTGCCTCCATGAAAAATTGCACATTATTAAACTTCTAAATAATAATAATCTATTAAATAATAGACACGAGTTAACGGTTTTTGTAGGCATCATCAGATTTTTTGGTTTGAATTATTAGATAAAAAATTTATATAACTTGTTTAACAAATAGCCCAATCATCAGATTCATAGTAGGAATAATTAACTACAAACATGCATACAACATAACACACTTCATAATCCATAGCCTAAATTAGTAGCTTAAATACCTTACATATAAGATAACCCTTTATGACGTCGTCAAAAAACAAACGTTATGAAAGTTTTTCTTTTTTTATATGCACAATTCCCTTTCATAATAAAATAAAATAAAATAGATAAATAAATCTCCATAGACAAGCAAACTAGACGATGGCTAATACATCTTCCGTTTCATTTTTGACACCCCCACCTTTCCCCGACTTGACACCTTGAAAATATCTCTATATCGCTTACTTATTATAAACACCTTACACTCGCCTACCCAATTTAGAAAATTCACCATAGCTGTTACCATGGGTATTTTGATTTCAATTTTAAACAAGTAAATTTCAGATATACGTTATTCCAACAAAAATTTCGCTTGAAGATGGAACGGAGCCTATTTTACTTTCAACTCAATTTAATTTAAAGGATTATATTGAAGTTTTCGGCTCTTGTTTTGAAACATGAGACCTCTTATGTAGCGATTTGGAATCATATTTTTAAATAAATAATTATATTTATGCTCTACTTTTGTATCGAGCACTATTTTTTAAAAATAATAACTAAAATACTAAGGGACTTTGGATTATTTACCTAACCAGTTCCTTCCTATTTTCTATATATTTTCACATATATGCATATATATATATATATATATATATATATATATATATATATATATATATATATATATCCCATTCTGACAGTATGCTTTATTTCTTGACTATCCACAACAGAACATTAAAAAAACAAGATTGCCCGTACATACAGCATGAGAGACAGAGAGAGAGAAAAAAAATTTTCGGTAAAAAAAATATTTCAAATTTTCGTGCTGAATCGTCAATGTCTTTATTATATTAAAAATATTTTTAGTACAGAAAATATAAATATTAAAGAAAGTCAAAGAAAACTAATGCAAGGAAAGTTGAGGAGTAACGGTAAAGTCAGTGGGAATGTGAAATTGAAACCACGTTGAATTACAGTCGGAGACAAAAAACAAAACTGATTATGGCCTCTTCTTTTTCGTTTTCCTCCACCAGAATTTGATTTTTATAACTTCCCCTTTTTTAAGTATCGACACTGCGTAGTTAGCACCTCCAACAGATATATGACCAGACTGAAATAGATAGATAGATAGATAATGAACAGAATAAGATAGATAGATAGATAGATAGATAGATAATGAACAGAATAGGATAGATAGATAGATTGATAGATAGATAGATAGATAGATAGATAGATAGATAGATAATGAACAGAATAGGATAGATAGATAGATAGATAATGAACAGATTATTGCCTCTCCTTTTTCGTTTTCCTCCACCAGAATTTGATTTTTATAACTTCCCCTTCTTTAAGAATCGACACTGTGTAGTTAGCACCTCCGACAGATATATGACCAGACTGAAATAGATAGATAGATAGATAGATAGATAATGAACAGAATAAGATAGATAGATAGATAGATAGATAATGAACAGAATAGGATAGATAGATAGATAGATAGATAGATAGATAGATAGATAGATAGATAGATAGATAGATAGATAATGAACAGAACAGGATAGATAGATAGATAGATAGATAGATAGATAGATAGATAGATAGATAGATAGATAGATGGTTAGCTGTTGCTTTTTAGCAGTATATCGCTTTCACTTATCTATGTCAACCGCTGATGTATTAAGGATTATTGCTGAAAGTATCTCTCAAGCTTTAGATAAGAATGGTGACGCTCGGGCTGTTGATTTTGGTATATCGACGTCATTTGATAGGATTTAGTATTCTCCATCGCCTTAATCAGGTATTGAACTCCCGCTATTTGGGTCCTGTCACTGGATCTAACTAACGCCTTTATCCACTGTGCCATGTAGTAAATATGGCGACAAAGATTAGGACAATAGTCCGAATAATGTAAATAGTGTACATAATACCTCATCTCAGAAATATAGACATATACTGAAAGGCCGAAACGTTGTAATAAATATGGCGACAAAGTTGAGGAAAATAGTCCGAATAATGTAAATAATGTACATAATACCTCATCTCAGAAATATAGACAGATACTGAAGGGCCTGAACGTTGTAATATATATGGCGACAAAGATGAGGACAATAGTCCGAATAATGTAAATAGTGTACATAATACCTCATGTCAGAAATATAGACAGATAATGAAGGGCCGAAACGTTGTAATAAATATGACGACAAAGATGAGGACAATAGTCTGAATAATGTAAATAGTGTACATAATACCTCATCTCAGAAATATAGACAGATACTGAAAGGTCGAAACCTTGTAATAAATATGACGACAAACATCAGGACAATAGTCCGAATAATGTAAATAGTGTACATAATACCTCATCTCAGAAATATAGGCAGATACTGAAGGGCCGAAACGTTGTAATAAATATGGTGACAAAGATGAGGACAATAGTCCGAATAATGTAAATAGTGTATATAATACCTCATCTCAGAAATACAGACGGATTTATTTTTGACTTTATTATATTGGACAATTCTTACTTCTGTTTTTATTTATTAAACAATCCGTATGATATCTATCGGGAGGCACACTCGAGAAATCTTAGGAAGATAAATTGTGCACATGCTTGTAGGCGGAGGCGGATGTGTTGAGTGTGTTTGCGTTAATAGATTTTACAACATATCAAAACATTTTGTTCATTTAATACCTAAATTTATTTTTTATTTCTTTTATTAAACTTAAGCCTGTCGGTAAACATTGGTGGAATTTATATTTGATTTTATGAATAACATTTGTTCTGGTTTACAATGTGTCTATAACCAAATATTGGTCGAATTTATACTTGGCGCTGTAGGATAGAATTTGGGCGAGTTTAAGCTTTAGTTTGCTAGTTTCTACCCAGAAATTAGTTTGGTTTGGTTTGTTTTACGGCATATCAACCTCAGTGGGTTATTTAATGCCAACAAGACTTTTATTGTAGGTAATATATTTTTTTAAAAATATATTGCTGCTAATATATTATTTTCCAAAAAATCTATTGCTGGCAAAATTTTTTCTTCAAAAATATATTGCTGGTAATATTTTTTTTCCTTCAGAAATGTATTGCTGGTAATAATGTTTTACAAAAATGCATTGCTGGTATTAAAATCTATTTTTACACTTTTATAGTGTTTTGACTCCAGTTTGAGGGTTAACTATTTGTCAATAATTGGGATCCTAACAGATGCCACTACATTCCTCAAAGCTTCCCCCATCAGAGGCCTTGCTGTTGGATATAGTTTTACCCAGGACGCAGATGTAGTGTGTCGTCTTACCCAGGACGACCAGAAATTGGTCTCATTTGGAGGACTCTACAGAAATCAGCATATTCTAGACTTCACCAACAGAGCAGGTATCTGTGTGTATATGTGTGTGTATGTAAGTGTGTGTGTGTTTTATGCGTATATATTTGCATACGCACCTGACTTCGAGGAATTTGTCATTTTAGAAATAAGTGACGTACTGCAACACCTAGTTTTCGCAGTTTCCTTCGAAAACATTGTAACTGCTCTAGCAAGCTTGATAGCCGTTACAGCCTGTCGAAATGCCTCTAGTGATTTACTAGGCGTAGCTTAGATGTGGCACAAGGCCGAAAGTATGAAGCACCCAGTAAGGATCGAACTCACTACAAAGTCATAATTGATCTAGCGAGACAATCTTGTTAAACATTACACCACGCCGTGAATTGTTCTTGATGATTCTATATATAATTATGCTTGTGAGCTGCACTTGAGTATTTAGCCTATTTGGGTAAAGGGTTATGTTAAGTGAGTGTGTGGCGGACTTCACCACATTAATTTAACTTTAGATTAGGAAACAGGACTGACGCAGAAAAGGATAAGCAAAAGACATAGTTACACATAAAATATGTATTTAACAAGATGTACAACATCAAACAATGATGTGAAAGAAAGCATGCATTTAAGTAAGAAAAGGTTGAATAAAACAAGAGTTGTCTCTCTTTAACTGTTATTTAAATATTCCAAAGTACGCTGGAATAATGTTTAGTTTCTTGTAATAATAGTTCTTGAAAGAATTGCTGTGGAAGAAAAGATTATGTGAGTGTTACAAGGTATGTTCAGCATGTGAGTGGTGTGTGTGAGTGAGAAGGTTGGCGCATGGTTTCAACTGTCGTGGATTCGTTTGGCAGCTGAATTCTCACTAAAAAAGGGTTAGAAAATTCTTGCTTAATAAGTGACTATAGGCTCCAGATCGCTGCGCGGGAAGAATTATTCTTCTCGTGAAGATGATCTGATTGGTTGGCATAGACCAATCGGCGAGCGAGCTTTGGGGAGACTTAAGAAAGCTTCTGTGATCCCTTTCTCCGAAAAGTGTACAAAACTGATTACATGAAAATAGAGCGATTATAAAATTGTCGCATTACTGCGATTTGTAAATTGTCTATAATAACGTAGTGGATATTAATTAACCAATGAATGCTTGGCGTTGTATGTGATTTGTATTTTTGTAGGTATGCATGTATGTATGTGCGTAATAGATTTGCACAAGTGCATTTTTTGACATTGTTGCTTGAGGTCGGTGTTCGACCCCATGTTAAGGGCCAGATTTTCAAAAATTTAATAAAGAAGATCTTGTTTTCTACGTAAATGCATTACAAATTGACCGGTCTGCTACGAAAGCGAAACAAAAAACAATTCTCCTGCACCACGTTTCCAAGCAACTGCGAAATAGCATTTAAACATTTCTGCTTCGAAAGTTTATTTTATACATATTATTATTGATTAAAAACTCTAGATTTACAAATTCTGAATATATATATATATATATATATATATATATATATATATATATATATATATATATAAGATCATCCCATGAGTTCTGTCCGAATTTTAAATAAAGAAAACAAAGTGACCAAATGTTACATTTAATTACAGATTCAATCAACAATGTATTTTCCCTGATTATCTATGACTTCCTTCCATCTATTAACAAGCTTACTAATTCCATTACTGTAAAATTCTTTTGGCTTTGATTCGAAGAACTCACAAATGTCAGTTTTAAACTCTTCCTGTGTTACAAAAGCTGTTTCAAATGATAGTCTGAAGGAGCAAGATCGGGAGAATAAGGTGGATGAGGAATTTTCTCCCAACCAAGTTCTTTGATCTTTTGTGTCGTGATACTTGTTGTGTGGGGTCGCGCATTGTCCTGATGAAACATCACTTCTTTTCGATTCACTAGAGCAGGTCTTTTTTTCCTCAAAGCTTAGTTCAAACGCTCTAATTGCTGACAGTATATTTGAGCATTAATTGCTGCATTAGGTGGTAAGAATTCAAAGTGGATTATTCCTTGGCGATCCCACCAGATTGAAAGAAGATTTTTGGGTACTTCCATGTTAGCAGGGTTTTAATCAAACAAAATTTAATTTTAATGTTCTCTGAAATAATATTTGATCAGTTTAAATGCATCTAAACATAAAAATAATGTTCAGCTCCATTAGACATTATAAAATACTCTTTAAATTTCATTCATTTTAACAAAAAGTTAAAATACGGACAGAACTTATGGGATGACCTGATATATATATATATATATATATATATATATATACAGAATGTATACATAAATGTACTCAGTATTTAAATGCGAATAAAAGCAGTGTTTATTGACTTGCAAACAAGATTAATTGTTAAGATTAAAACAATATTAATGTTTAATGACTTAAAAAGTAAATTAACGATTTAAAGTAAAATATGAAATTAAAGGTATGTTTATAAATATTCAAAGTCATAAAAAGTGTGTGTGTGTGTGTGTGTGTGTGTGTGTGTGTGTGTGTGTGTGTGTGTGTGTGTGTGTGTGTGTGTATGTGTGTTTTACAAAATCACGTGGTATGAGCATGTCTTTCTTTAGGGGACAGTTTGCCAATAAATTTACATGCCAATAATGACACAGCTATAATCAATTTTTATTTTAGTAAAAGAAAAATGATGTCTGTAATCTACAGCAGTATTTTAAAAATGGAAAAAAAAGTCTAGCTGCATAGCCATTTCTAAAACTTCAAACACAATCGACTTAAATTCCTATACAGTTAGACTTTGGCGTGTAATACCTCAATCTTCTTAAATGCTCTTTTTACATACGTCTCCATAAATGGCACATAGCGAAAATAGTAAAGTATTTAGTGAGAATCGAACACGATAGTTAGTTTATCATTATCTCCGCAGCAGCTGGTCACACATACATACATCCATACATATATTATGAAATGGACAAAGTCCGACAATTATTTTAAGACATTCTTTGTTTTTATACGTTCTTTTTATAGATACACATATTTAAGTAAATACTCTGTTTATAATAAACAGTATTAACGACAATTACCGGCCGAGAAAAATAAAATAATTGTCGGACTTTGTCCATTTCATAATGTGTGACGTCATTTGTTTACATTTGGATACGCATCGAGTAGATATGAATGTGCGAGGGAAAATCATGGAGAATTGTAGTTTAAAAACAGTAAAATCGACCTTGCTAACCGAAACGCTCCTTTGTGGCTCAATCGGTAAAGCTCGTCAGGCTATATGACGGTTCCGTATAGGATACAGGTTCGATTCCTGTCGGAGGACGTATATTTTCTATGAAAATTTCTCGGACATTCAGGTCGGTAAATGTCGTTAATACTGTTTATTATAAACAGAGCATTTATTTAAATATTTGTATCTGTAAAAAGAAAGTATAAACATAATAAAATGTCTTAAAATACATACATCTTAGTATTTATTGATCCACCCACGAGGATTGAATATGGCACAAGGCCGGTTTAATGTGGGTATCTCCGATACATACATCTTTGGTCTTTGGAGTTGCATTCTAGACGATTATTTTCGCTTAACGTATATGTTCTTGGTTCTTTCTTTTTTATATACCTTTTTTCCCCTTTGGTATTTGTTTGATTATTTGTAAATTAAGACACCGAAAGTTTTCGGAACGAGTATAATTTCTTATACTTATAAGATTACTACTATATATATATATATATATATATATATATATATATATATATATATATGATCATTTCACTCGAAGCAATAAAACCACTAAGACACAAGGGAGTTACTGCGTGTGAAAGAATAAGAATCAAGAAAATAGTAGATGATGATTGAACCGTCGCTTTCTGGAACCAGCTCCCAAGAGGATGCTTCCTAGACCATTACAGTCATAACCTGTTCAAGTTTAGGGTTAATCATTATCTTATCCACATTTTCCCATAATCTATGTTTCTTACTCTGTCTTACTTTGAAGTTGCTCTCGGGCCTTGTACAGAGTGAATTATATTTTAAAATATATATTGCGCGTGTGCGTGCATGCGAGTATGTGTGTGCGTGCGTGTTGCTGATTGCAGTTGGACACAGGTTTAACTCGGTACCCTATCTCTGTATCCGAATTCCTATTCTCTGCGTACGTTTAGGCGTGGCGGTATATCTGTATAGCGAGATAGAAAATAAACAGTTGTGCTTGTTTGTGCGTACGTGTGCGTGCGCTTGACAGCGTCGGTGCCCAAGATTGTCCAGATTAAAGCTTCATTATCTAGAGATTGTGACTCTGGCCGAGTTGATTTCGAACGGCCGGACGAACTGAGCAGAGAAAGAGTAAGGGAAGGGTTGGTGGTGTAAGATTCTCGGCTGATATGGACACAGGTCAAGCAATCAATATTAGGACTGGTCATATAATTTACTTTAATCTTCTGCTTTGGACTTTACAGTGTTTGTTTTACTGTGCATCCATTTATATACATATCGGTATATATATATATATATATATATATATATATATATATATATATATATATATATATATATATACAGATATCAGTATATATATATATATATATATATATATATATATATATATACAGATATATATATATATATATATATATATATATATATATATATATATATATATATATATATATATATATATATATATATATATATATATATATATACACCGTATATATATATTGACCGTATATATATATACACCGTATATATATATATATATATACACCGTATATATATATTGAAGAATAAAAATATTTAAAATATATATATATATATACAGATATCAGTGTATATATATATATATATATATATATATATATATACAGATATATATATATCGGTGTATATATATATATATATATATATATATATATATATATATATATATATATATATATATATATATATATATATATATATATATATATATATATTGAAGAATAAAAAATATTTTTTAAAAATAACATTTTCTGACACACTAGGTTGTATATTAATATATTTTGTTTTATTATATAATTCGGTTCCTCGTCTAGTTTCGGCCAGCATGCCCATCGTCAGTTGTTAATAGCAGTGAACTATAGGAGTGAATGGCTGTTTCTGAAGAAACTGAACTTTATCTGTAGCTTTCCTTTGTTGATTTTTGGGGGGTTTTTATCGTTAATTTTGGTCAGTCCTTGTATCGGTTAAACGGCCTCTGTTAAGTTGTTTTTAAAATAGAGGCTGGGGAATTCCTGGGCTTCTGAATTCCCTCCTTGGTCATTTTGACAGTTTTATGAGATGCTGGGGAGGGTATGTCTGTGTAAAGTCTATGTTATGTTTTAGTTTTTTGGGAGTGTATGTAATGTGTGTATGTGCATATATATGTGTGAGTGTGTGAGACCTCAACACCTCTGCAAGCATATCTGTCTTGTGTGGGTGATAAATATATATATATATATATATATATATATATATATATATATATATATATACTTTGAATATACGCTCCTTTTAGCGCTAGAGGGCGTCGTCAGTGATGTTCTGGGGATGGATCATTGGGCAGTTTCAGGTCTTTCAAACCTCATACTGACCTCACCAAATCGACCCCCACCCTCAGAGCTGATCAGACTCTGAAACACGCTCTAAAAAATGCTTGTAGACACTGACTTCTATAAATATACCCTGTTATATCACATTTGATATATATATATATATATATATATATATATATATATATATATATGTGTGTGTGTGTATCTATATCTATATATATATATATGTGTGTGTGTGTATATATATATATATATATATATATATATATATATATATATATATGAAATGGACAAAGTCCGACATTTATTTTAAGATATTTATTATTTATTTATATCTTTTATGTTTATACTTTTTTTATACATACAAATATTTAAGTAAATGCTCTCTTTATAATAAGAAGTATTAATAATTCAGGCTGGTAAATGTCATTAATGCTGTTTATTATAAACAGGGTATTTATTTACTTAAATAATTGTATCTATAAAAAGAACGTATAAACATAAAAAATGTCTTAAATTATATATATAATTTTCCCATATATATATATATATATATATATATATATATATATATAGATAGATAGATAGATAGATAGATAGATGTATAGATATAGATATATATGAGATAAGTTTTATATATCAGAACAATTTTAGGAAAATCTACGACAAAGTGGAAAACATTTTTCGTTGCGACGCATTTCATCCTTTAGAATTAGATTGGGGTAAAGTTGAGGTGATTACACATGCACATGATGGAAAGTGAACGCTGAAAATTTAAATTTAATTTTTTTTCCTAAATAAGTGTTTGGGTATATACTCTAGACGGTTTCATTTATTCTATTCTTTTTTATTTTTGATTATGTCTTTATCACTTTTGTTATTAAACATCCCAAACTGTGATAATAGAATTTTTCCCAAGAAAGATAAAATGTAAGAATCTCTACGTACGTTTGTAGTCCATGGTTTAATGATTAAAGCATTTACTATACATTTTCGTGTTAATAAATTGTTTTCCCTTTTAATTCAAGTAGCAATTTTAAATCGAAATTATGGTCAGACTCATTACGGCAAGTAAGTAATACAACGAGTGTGTTGTTTTATAAAATTTCTTATTTTTGCACATATAATCTTTTATTTAAATTCCTTCAGGTTTCTCCTATGTATTCTTTGTGGTAATCATTACAGGTGATAGAATAAACTCTTGCCTCATGTTTTAGCCTATTATTAATTTGTTTCGTATTACTTAAGTCATTTATTGTTTTCGAAGCAGGCGCAACAAGTTTTATGTCAAGCTTAGATAAATTCCTTTCAACTGGTGTTGTGATAGAGTTGGTGGGGACAACAATATATTTTGATTTGTGGTATTCATCAGGATGGCCCACTCTTTTATTTGAAATAGTTTTACAAGCCTTTCTTGTATTGAATATGGAATAATTAGGGCATTGGAGTAGTTTAAACTTATTTTCAATGTATTTCTCCTCTAAATACTGAAGGCTATAAATTCTGATTGCTCTTAAATAGAATCCGATAATTATTCTAGATTTTATTTTGTTGCTATGGTAAGAGTAGAAATTTATGAGATCATTTTTATTAGTTGATTTGCGACACACATTTAGTTTTAGGTTAGTGCTATTACAGAGTAACATGATATCATATTTTATACATAAGAATTTCATATATAACGATTTCATATATATATATATATATATATATATATATATATATATATGTGTGTGTGTGTGTTTAGGCACGATGGAGTAATGGATAACAGCTTGGATTGAGGAATCGGAGAGCCGAGTTCATTACATATAATTATGTGCAAATACCCCTGGGAAAGTTAGGAATCCATAACTTCTTCCCACCCATCTATGGGTAAAGAGCAGGACAGACTGTGTCCTATAGCCTTGGGTGGCAACTGGTCTAAGAGAACGAGAACATTGAATTCAAAACCTGTGGAAGTTCGTTTGGGAACCTTGTGGCATACTGTGCACCAGTTCTCTGTATTCGGCTCTTCCAAAAACTGTGGTTGGTTCTACAAAATCATTCACCACTGTGATTAAATATGTGCGGGTTGTTTGTCTGTTGATCCTATATATGTACCAAAATTAGATGACAAAAAATATTTTTTGGCAATGTTTATTTTTTTTTATTTGGGTGACATGTAAATGTGAGAGGACAATTAATTTTTTGACAATTATAAGTTTTTGGTTGCTCCTGCAACCTGCGTCCAGGTTTGATACTGAATTTTTGAACACTTAACAACGGAAATGAACGGGAATATGTCCCTAATACAAAATATCAAGAATGCGAAGCTCTTCAGTAAAATGAATGGAGCACTATGACAGCTTGGAGTTTGTTTACGTTTGTAAAAACAATACGTTAGATTTGGCAGACTCATTCTGTCGAGTGAAGATAGTTCATTTGTAGAAGCTCTGCCTGACACCAAATCGGTTGGGTTTCATGAGGCATTCAGTTGTCTAGTTGCACCGAAGAGCTGTGATACAGCGAAACAATACTGACTACGAATGACTTTACATATATATATATATATATATATATATATATATATATATATATATATTAATATAATTAAATAAAACATAAAACAATAAAAGAAAAAATGCAATTAATAATAATAATTAAATTTATTACATTCCATAAAAAACAAAATGGAACCTAATAACCGACTGTTGCATAAAAAATATGAAAAAAAGCTCTTGAACAGATGAAACAATGTGGACAAGCCAAACCTCTGTAAGGCCAAGATCCAGAACGTGTTAATAAAACCGATGCTTATAAAGTTAACACTCATTAATGGTTACGAACATCTGGAATAAATCTTGAAACGAAAAGCTTTATTCTTGCAGCGCAAGAACAGAGTCTTTTCAAGAAGAACTTTCGGGCAAATATCATACGTAATAGTGTAGATCCCAAATGCAGTTTCTGTGACAAATATCAGGAAACCGTAGACCATCTAATCGCAGAATGTTTTGCACTTGCACCAAATGAATATAAAAATCGTCACGATAGAGTGGGGCAATATTTACACTGGACAAAGTGAATTTTGGAAAAGATGTTAACAAACACTGGTATGAACATCACCCAGCGCCGGCACAGAAATAGAAGGCGTCACAGTTTTATTGGATTACACCATCTTTACAGACAGGAAGATTGAAGCAAATAGGCCGGATATAATTATGAAAAGTGAAAAGAAAAAAATATCTGCGTATAATTGATATGATTTGCCCAGCGGATTGTAACATCTCAACCATGGAATTTAAAAAAATAAAAGTATCGAAGTATAAAGACTTGGATATCAAAATAGAAAGAAATTGTAAATTGAAAAAAAGAACAGTACCATTCATAGTAGGTGCGCTTGGAATGGTAAAAAAAGAACACAACAACACATTGAAAACATTCCTGGTAATCACAGCTTAAGAGAAATAAAAAAAATATTGTCTTAATAAGTACAGGCCATATACTAAGAAGAATTTTGTCCATGTAACGCTAGTGATGTTATGGGGGTTAAAAAAATATGAAATGTAGTCAGAACAACACACGACTACCTGACTTATGTCTTCCCGGTCTTTTGGTAGGTAGTGTGACCATAGCAGTAATCGAAATATAATAATAATAATAATAATAATAAACATTGAAAACATACATAGATTTAAGTTACGAAGTGATCAATAATATAGTGTAGTATGGAAATGGAGCCCAATCCCAAAACGTCAGAGACATACAGCTTCCCCGCCCTTTCATGTTTCCCGCTACGAAGTGATCCTCAGACTATATATAAAAATGTAGAAAGCATAAATTCCCACGTGGATTTTGCGACACGTGATACAAGC